CTTCATAGAGCTGTCATTACTCTGCGATCGAACTGGGTTAAGATTTTGTTTATTAGGTGAAACGACTTCCTCATTTCTATCGATGACATTGGAATAAAAGGCTGAAAAGGTTAGGAACACAGGAAGTCTCTACCTAAGTGGGGGTTACTCGAAAACTCAATATCCGACTATGTAACCACAATCAAATCTCTTGCTGACCATCTTTTGGCTTCCTACTTCTAACTTTTTATATTTCCATTACGGATTTTGACAATATTTAATATTCCCGCATTTTCACTTTATTCCTTGTTGGGCCTCCTTCCAAAACGTGGGGAATAAGAAGAAACTTGGACTTTTGTTCGTTCGAAAGCCTATTGATCTTCAGAAATGATCAAAGTACAGAGCCTCTACAAAACGAAATAAAGACCTGGCTTATTTTTGTTGGCATCCACATATCCATCCCGACATTTGCAAGTGTATTTCTCAGGTCCGTCCACTTCTTGGCAAACGGCTGCCGCATGACAGTCATGTTTCGTGTCGTCCAGGCATACTCGTTCCAGGCATTTTCTGCCTAAACCGTTCACATGGGCGAATACTCAGATTAAAATATTTGACTGTTAGGAGACGGTTCCAGGAGCAAAGGCATATTTCCCAGGCTTACTATTTAACTAAAAAAGGTCCAGTACATACAGTGAAAATGAAAACAGACCTGGGCGATGGGGCAAAGGACTGCGGTCGAGGAATCCAGGCTTACAAACACATTCGTAGTCATTGGTACCACGCTCGATGCATTGGGCATTCTTGTCACAGTCATGTCGCCCAGACTCGCAAAGTTGATTGGCTAGAAAGAAATAAATACAGTGCTGACTTCGCCCTCCACAAATACCAGTGGTTTAGAAGTGACAGGCGCTCCTATATTATCTGGAACCTGGAAATCATTGACACGCTGTGCACATTTTGGACAACAATTGGAAAGTGATCTCTTGTCGCTCGAAAAAAGATTGCTTCCAATTTTGGATTACTGCCTTAAGGCAAGGGTAGAGAAGAGCCATTCCTGCTGTCATTCATCTGGATAACCTTAACCCTACTCTAGCCCCAACTTGTGGTTTAATGAAGCTACAGAAGTTATTTTACAGTCAATCTCCACAAGGCTTGCTTTCACATGACATAGACAGTTGTGGAGCGTATCATGAAAGTCTTATAATGAACCCTTCCAACTCCAACGCAATCGTTAAATTAGGGTTCTGAATCTGTTCAGTGAATTCACTGATCAACATGATCACCATGATCGCGCTGATTTGCTAGCGGTCAGAAAACATGAAAGAACCTTACCTTTACGACAGTCACGTCCAGGATTTCTTAGCTCATCATGATCCACGTAGCCAGTTTTACATTGACATTTGTAGGCATCACGAGTATCTGAAACAAGACGGTGATGGTTTTTTGAAAAAGATACTAACGAAGAATTATATGGAAGATGATTTAATTGAGAATTTTCAGAGCTGTGACTTCTAACAGTTTCTCTAATCGCACGTAGACGTTTTCGGAATGCAGTTACCCTAGAGTGAATCGTGTTTCGAAATCCGCTCTGGGTGATAGAGCTGAGAATCGAATAATCGAGACATGTTCACATAAGAGAATAGGAACACGGATAGTGGGCAATCTGAATTTTAATAGTCGTTGCGTGAAATGCGTGGCGGTACTTCTCCCAACGGCGGCAGTGGTTCCGCAAAGGCTGTCGTACCCTCCCAGTAGAAGTTCAAACCTTTCTTTTT